ACATAATATTTTATATATATATATATATATATATACACACACACATATATATACATATATTATATATTTAAAAAGACGAGCACAGTAACAAACTGTGCCGCAAACAGCAACGTAGAACTACGTCAACTGTCACTATTTCATGTTATGCCCGATCTACAATAGCTGTAGTAAGCTCATAATAAGCCTCAAGCCGTAAGAAATTGACCAATTACAGGCGAATGTGAGGAGAATGATCGACTGTGATTGGTCAATTTCTTACATCTTGAGGCTTACTACAGCTTACTACAGCTATTGTAGATCAGGCATTAAAGTATTCAACGAAGGAAAGTAGACGTAAAGCTACGTCAACTGTCACTATTTCATGTTATAGTATTCATCGAAAGACAGTTGACATAGCCCCACGTATACTTTCCTTCGTTGAATACTTTAACATGAAATATAATGACATCAATTGACGTAGTTCTACATTGTTGTTTGCAGCATAGTTGTTACTGTGCCCTTTGTTTTAAATATATGTATAATTTTTTTCTAATTTTACCTTAGGCTTTATTCTCATGTAGGAAGCTTTTTAAGTGAAACAGCAACTTATAGATATAGTCATTTATGAGATGGAAATAATAAAGGAGCGATACGTTTGAATATATACACATACATGTATGTACAATATATACACATATAAGTACATATACACAAATATATATAGTAATTTTACATTGATTTTTGCGGCATTTCTAAATCTAAAACTTGCTGATCATTTTTTTTTTGCTTTATAAAGTTTGCTTTATAAAGTTCGCTTTATAAAGTTTTTTTGCTATATAAAGTTTTATCTATGAGAAATTTGCCAAATTATTAATAGCATATAATAGATTGGCTTCCTCATTGAGAAAACTTTATAAGCGAAGTAAAATGATGAGGAAGCGATCTGCAAATTTCTAAATTGAACATTTTTTTAATTATATTTGTAAATTTATAATAAAAAGTATTGTATATGAAATAAGGGTAGAAAACTTCATACACTTCTAAAGCAGAAATCGGTAACCTCTTCCTAGATCGTCAGAAAATTCAATAACCAATCTTCCTTTAATATGATGCTCTATATAAAAATACATGTATAACTTATACTTTATTTAGGCATAAATCGGTATCCCCGGATCGACGACAAATTCATGTCAATACAGGATCCTCCTAGTGTTTAGTTATTTGAGTAACAAGTGAGAGAAGATGGAAATTCACGGGTGCGAAGTGGACGCACGAGCCGAAGGCGAGTGCAATCACCGCACCCGTGAATTTTCAACTTCACGCACGTGTTACACACCCTATTTTATATTACAAGTGCGTGGAAAGTGGCTCATCACGAGCGCGTCGCGCGAGGAATGGGCCACTTTCCATGCATGTGTGACATAAAAGTATTTTCGGAATCGTGGTCAAAGTATGTTCATAATGATGTTCTATACAACATTAAAAACTACATTACATAACATTTGACAACATTACAAGTTCTAGAATATTGTTGCAATAACATTGTAATAATGATTTTTTGCTTACTGGGAATACAATAAAAATAGATTGCATATCTAAAAAAGTATTACATTTTACATATATCTAATTATAATTATCAATGCAATTAGAAATAAATTCTGTACCTTTTTCTACTTAAAGCATGTATATTTATTATAGGTATCCATAATTTTTCACATGGCAGCAAATGTACGGTTCAACGAGAACATCAAAATTTCTACGATAATAAACGTTTTAATGCTACCGCCACCATCTTAAAACTTGCAAAGCGCATGCCAAATTTAAAAGTAATTCCTTTATCTAATATGTGTTCCAGTAATAATAATGATTAGCAAAAAATTATTTATATTTAATTATTTATAACAGTTTTTCATACTGGCACGTGTTAAAATATGGGTATTGAGTATTTTATTAGGATAATATTGTATTATAATATTTCTTATTTTTGGAATGATTTATTAAAGCCAGTCCCGAAATTACTGCAATATCGGGTTGACTTGCGGCAAGGTCGGAGCAAGCTCCATACACTCGTCTTGGTTCAAAAATCAGATTAATATTCTGAGTCCCCTATGGAGACTGTATCAGATATTAAGCTGATAAGAACAGATACTACACATTTGATCTTAGCTCAATAGAGCCGAGAAGCGATACTACAAGAATATTTTTCACGCCTTATATACAGTTCTGTGTCGAATTTTACTTACGAGAAAGACACGCCGCGTAGTGATAAGCTAAGGAAGCACAGGAAGCATTTGGTTTCGATTGTCCCCCAACAGAGGCTCTAACCTCTCCTTTCTCAAGTTAGAGCACGTCAAGCACGTGGCTGGAGTGGAGCTACCAGCTTATACATATATTGGTATTGAAACGTTCATATGTCTGTATATAAAAGAGTTTAATTCCAAGGTTAATCTGTTGTTAAATAATTTCCTGTATTGTATCACGCTTGCTCCGACCCTGCCGCAGGTCAACCCGATATTGTAGTAATTTTGGGACTGGCTTAATAAATCATTCCAAAAATAAGAAATATTATCTAAAATATTATAATACAATATTATAATAAAATACTCAATACCCACATATTTTAACACGTGCCAGTATGAAAAACTGTTATACAAAATTGTTTTAATATATCCAATCAAATACATAAAATAATTATGCATTGCAATCGAAAGGAGAAAGTTGTGGACAACGATGGGCAGTACTTTGAATAAAAAACATGTGGTACCGTTTTTTTCAATAAACATTAATTTTTATGCAAAAAAACCAAAAAATTAATTCCAACACCCAATAATTTAAATAATATTAATAATTTCAATGTCCTAAGCCTTTGAAGATATATAAAAATTAAAATAAATCTATTATAAATTTGAATTTTCACGAAATAAATATATATATAATTTTTAAGCAATTTAGATATTAAACATTCTACCTTTAGATATAATACACATTATGTTTACGTGAGCATAATAACGTAATATGACAAATATTCAAATTAAAAATGGTCGAACTTTACATTTAATATATCTACCATATTTTGATTCTTTTATCAACTTTGATATCAAATTACTATTCCGCTACCTAAAAAAACCCTTAAGAGTTTAGATAATATAATTAAAAAAGTGTTGCAGATTTTTAATGATCTGTGTAAGTCGACTTAATTATAGACTCTGAGTCAATCAGCAATATTTTTTTAATCGTAATCGACACAATGAATTCCTTTTAAGGCTAAAAATTCTAACAACGTACTTAATTTTTATTGAAATTAAATTTCTCTAACATGTCATATATCATAATTACAATATGCCAAAGTACACTATAATAGCCCATTTTTTGCACTTTAACTGCAAATTTCTCAAAATTGTGACGTAATAGAACAATTTAGCGAACAGGATATACGTTACGGCGATCGTAATTTCACAGATGTACCTTAATTGTTAAGTTCACGTTACGTTACTTCGCGTCCCGTCGCGTCCCGTTACGTTAAGTTTATCGTAATTTTGGCATTTTGTATTTAATTTAAAAAAAAAAACTAAATTTAACAGATCCAACCATACATCTACTTGTTAAAGATAAATTGTTTTTTTTTATACGCGATAAAAGAAATTGTTGCTACTTTTGTTATTTTTAGGAACTACTGTGACGTCGGAGCTTATTTGACTGTGTGTTGGCTAACAATTTGAACTTTGTCGCCAGCAAATAATTCAAAATAAGTCGTTTTATTTTCGACCC